CATTGACAACGATTTTGAGCCATGTCACCTATTGTCTCCAGCCATTGATTCCTAGAGTCCCGAGGGCCCCAACCCGGGAGTCTGCATCTCCCTACCTGACTCAGCTTAATTGTCAAGGATTTCATGGATTGATGAGGCCATGTTTTTGTTTGGCCACCACTTACTCTTTTCCAACTTGCGCCTATATCAGCTAGTAATGCCCGTCGGGGGAGGTGATGGTTAGGCATGCGCAGCACGTGACCTAGCCATCTTAGTCTATGTAACTTTATAGCCTCGTCGATTGATTTTCCCTCTTTGCCCAACACTCTACGCCTGACGTCAACATTACTTACCTTATTAAACCACCTAACGTGAGAAAGAGATCGTAGACACCTATGATCGAAAGCAGTCAACCAATCAATAGCCGATCACTCAACAAATCTGTAGGAGAATGTGGAGATGGATGAGACATACTTTGAGGAGACCGTCGAACAACATTGCGCGCCAGGCCCTCGAGTAGAATCCCAATGGGAAGCGACGAGTGGGCCGTCAGTGCTAGGGTGAAATGGAGGAGATCGTGTCAGGAGGAGATGAGAGATTGTGGGTAACCGTGGTCCAAGCTGAAGAGGACGGTAGATTATAGGAAGAAGTTGAGATGTGTTTTTAAAGCCCTATGTCCCATTCGGAACCCAAGGAAATAATAATAATAATAATGTTTCTGGCCCTATTAACGAGATATAAAGCTACTGAAACTTTCATTCTTACTGTGAACGATCTGATTGGAAATTCAAATGTTTTTTGAATGTGTCGGCTTCCTGTATATCGTGAACTTTAGTTTCTCGTCAGTTTGTCTTTTTCAAGACAGCAGTCTTGTCATCATCCACCAATTAACAATCCAGAAAGTTTAGAGTTCTCTCGTCTGATTCAACTTCATTAGTAAACTTCATATATTTTGAGATTAAGTTAAACTGTGTGAGAAAGTTTCCTATTTCTGCTTTCTTAATTATGATAAATATGTCATCTATACATCTGTACCATATTCTAGGAAGAAAACTAAAACTTCTCAGTGATTTCTTTTTGCCTACGGCTTTCATAGGAAGATTTGCCACAATTGGAGGTGCTGGTGAATTGGCAACTTGCTATTAAAAGGCGGAGTAGTAGTAGACAGGTGAAGGTCAAAGTGCACCAAACATCCACCTACAAATGAAGTAGAATTAAAAAGTCTAGAAAACAGATCAGCTACAGCAATGCATGCTATCTATAGACAGCGGACATACAATCGATTTCGACAATGTCAAAATTCTAGGAAGGGGCTTTCATTCACCTAAGAAGGAAAGGCTCACTCACCTCTGAAACCTTGCATATTTGAACCACATCGAATGCAGTAAATATAGGAGAGAAGGGGTAGACTTATCACCTATATGGCAGACTCTAATGAAGCAATCAATATTAAATCCGATATTATGACGACTATGAAATATGTTTTGACGTGTTTTCCATACAACAAAATAACATAAACACACACACACACGCACACACACACACTTATACACACAAATATGCACATATGACAATTCGACATTTAATATTCCCATAATAAAATTTATAACAACACATTTAAGCGCGAACAATATTGTGTTTTGAATTAGATCTCATCAGGGTTAACTCTAATATACATAACTGTACAAATTAAAATTCAGAATTTAAACCAATCACGGTGTTTTTCCAATCGGATGATAATAATGAATGGAAGGTATTTTGAGTGATCAACCTAAATTCCAATCTCTTGGTGTTTCTAAAGACCTTAATGTACGAGCGGAGAAACTGACGACCGACTCCCTCAAAAAACTGAACCGAATAGGAGTATTATAATCAACCACGTATGACTCCATCCAACCAACGGGTACCAATACTCCACGTCTTTACTGTCTATCCAAAGTGCACAAACCGGGTCTTCCTCTTCACCCAGTCTGAGATATGTACAAATCTCCATTTCACAGAACAGCAAAGTGATTAGCGAAGATTCTGGGGCCTATGCATAGAGAAATTGAGCGAAATAGAATTAGTGGTGGCCTCGACTTCATTTCTAAAATATCCAAGATTAATATGAGGGATAAACGTATGTTATCCATCGATGTATCATCACTATTCACGAATGTAACACTTATCAAAACGGCAGATTACATTTGTCAAAAAATTAGCGAAAGGCAAAAGGACTTAGTAGATGCCTTGTGTATCCTCCTTAAATGAACAATGAATGAGCATTTTGTCCTCAATAATTCATATTACCGACAAGTAGATAGAATAGCTATGGGTTCACCATTAGGCCCAATATTAGCTGACTTCTTCCTCGTCAAACTTGGAAACAGGGGAGAGTGAAAGACATCATAAGGGATTGGATTCGTCTTACCATTATGTCGATGATACAATTGTCTCATTTGATGGGATTGCAAACATATGAATTGTTGATGAAATTCAACGGCATCCACCCTTCGCTTTCTTTTACTTGTGAACAGAGGCAGGATAGTAAACTAGATTTTTTCGATTTCTTGCCAAGAAGGCAAGAAGATGGGTTACTTGAGAGAAGCGTGTATAGAAAAAGCACATTCACAAAGTAATGCACACACTTCCTTAGTTACGTGCCCACTTAGTATGAAATAAATGTTGTTAAGTATATTACAAGCAGAGTAAGAAAGATATTGTACGGATGACCACTTACAAAAGGCATTTGAATACACTCATGATTCCTTGACAGAGATGGGCTATCCGAGTAGTTTCATAAAGAAACATATGAAAACATTGGACAGAAAACCTAAGACTATGACTGCACGTAAAAAGCCTCTATTTATTAAGTTACAATTTAATGGTGACTTGTCAAGTGAGATTTTATTCTAGTAACTTTCCAGCAACATACGAAGAACCTTTCACTCAGCAAACCTAATGTTTGTCATTCTTTAGTCAACGAATAATTGCGACGCAAACGAAGGATAAGCTAGACAGTTTTGCCACATCTATGTGCATTTACCAATTCAACTGCAGTGAAGTGACAGTTATTTTGGGTGTACTACTAGACAGCTTAGTCAACTTGTTACTAAACATCTCCCATCATGTTCTGGCGAAGGACAGACAAAAATAATCAGTAGGTCCGTTTTGTCACATTTGGTTGATAGTGGTCTCTTAGTGGAGAAAACGAGAGCTCTCAAAGTAATTCATCGTATCCCACCAAGTCTTTGCAATAGACTTCGTATTCGTCTACTGCACATACCTGGGGCGATAGGCATTCTAACCATTAAACCTAAACTATGCATTCAAAAGAAGTTCGTACAGCCATACACCTCCCCACCGTGACCTATTAAGACATAACCAACTAATGAATTCTATAACACCCCTTGTCTATATTTTCAACCCCTTTCTTATCATCCCTTAATCTTATCACATCTTCATTATAAACGTGTCTCATTTACTTCCCTTACAATCGTGCATTACTTAATCGGTCCACTTGATTTTCTTAGCTTTTATCAACTCCTTCTACCTGAATATATGATTGCTTAATCATGCTGATTTTCGTTGTTCTTATTATCACCTATCGCCTCACTTTTTCAATCTGATTAGTGATAGAACCATTATTATTATTATGATTACTATTATTATGACTAATTGCACAATTTATATGCATAATCTAATTGTCCTATTGACAAAATACACAGATTGGTTTAATATTTGAATTTGGATTTGTAAAGTTATTTATGTGAGAGTTAAGTCTGATGAGATCTAATTGAAACCACAATATTGTTCACGCTTAAATGTGTTTTTCTAAATTCGATGTTATTCATTACAAATAGGTGATGACTGTTTACATTTTTCTATTGGAAGAAATGGCTACCGACCGGCAAACGACCTTCAAAGGAACTCACTTCAATTTGTCACTTTAGACTATATATATTTTGACGGTTAATAAAATCGGAGTAATTCTACTGAAAAAAAACTGTGGCTTACACAGCGAATACTTCAGAAAACTCTTGTTTTGATTTTTCTTAAACACACTTGGATTATTTTAAATTATTTGATAATGAGTCAATTCGTCATCTACCTTGAAATTAATTAATTTAAGTGCGTCGGTAGCAGCACAGCGATAGAATGCTCGCCGGCCACGTAGGCGGTTCGGGGTTCGATCCCCGGCCACAGACGCACTCCTTTACCTCGCTAAGCCAGTAATAAAAAAGCTAGTAAAGAGGCAAAGTTGGACATGGGGCTAGCAACTCCATCCCGTAAAAATAAACACCGCTGCCAGCGGAACTTCAAGTCTCTAGCTTAACGCCACCCTGTCTGTCTGTTTTCAACATAGAACTTTCTACATATGTGCGGCAGTTCAAGTCACCACACTCTCTCCATGTAGCACACAAAGCGAGAGAATAAATGCATAACAGAGACAGTAGACAGGAATATGAGACAAAAGGAATAGTAACATAGTTTCATTGGAAATCATAAGTCACAAGGAGTGGATGCATTTGCGCTAGCCATTGAGAACGATTTTGAGCCATATCACCAATTGTTTCAAACCATTGGTTTTTACCGTCCTGAGGACCCCAACCAGCCAAGAAGCCTACACCTTATGTGTCTGCCTTACACTAACTGTTGTGGATTTCATTGACTGGTGTTATGTTTTGGTTTCACCATCAGTAGCTAACTCTTTTGTAGTCTGACCCTATGTTAGCTAACATTGCCCGTTGTCGAGGAAGGCGATGACTAGGCTGCCATGCGTAACACATGTCCTAACCATCTCTCTCAGTCGGTGTAAATTTCACAGCCTCATCGATTGATTTTCCCTCCTTACCTAGCACGCGGAAGGCACCCTATGTTTCACAGGGGATGTAAAGGAATAATAAAAATAAAAATCCTAACAAATTAACACTTGAAATATAGGGATATAGATTACACAAGCAGCCACAATAATAATAATAATAATAATAATAATAATAATAATAATAATAATAATAGTAATAATAATATCAGAAACATACCTGACGATTTCTTTCGTCTGCTATCTTCTTAATAAGTATCTTTTTACGACCCATGAGATGAAATCAATTCCTTGCTTGCTTTTTTTCAATACAATCTTTGAATATTATTTTATCTTCAAAGGCAATATTTATTTATTTGTTAATAGCAGTGAGATAGGTGAAAACATTGAATTTTAAAACGCGAAAGAAGAAGAGAAACACACAACACTAGTACAAATGGTAGTTAAAGAAAACGATGCAATATTCAGTAGAGGCACAATAGTATTACTAGTACCGGAAGTAATAATAATAATAATAAGTGCCGATCACAGTTATAAAGTAAACAGTAGACAAAACCACGAAAAGCAAAAATTAGAAAATTAACATACTGTCTTCATCCCCTTTCTACACAAAAGACAGACAAGTTGAACGAACTATTGTCACACAGACACGCAAAGAACAAAACAGAGTAGAACAGAACGAAAGGGACAACCAAAACACTAGAGACACCAAAATGCAGATATTCTTCTGTCTATTACACGAACAACTCAGTGATAATGAGGATGATAATAATAATAATAATAATAGTAATAAATATGAAAATCACAAAGCAATTAAAAATCTTTCTGATGATTAAGATGATGAATTAAGTTTTTTTTAAAAAGAGACTGAAAACAAAAACCAACTCAAAACTGGACAAACAAACGATAACTAAGTAGGGGTAAATCTACCAAAACTATGTGTCTTTTGATAATAAATTTAAAAAAGAATCTGTTTATTATATATATATAGTGAGGGTAGAGCAAAAATTACTGGGGAAAAAACAAGTGTATAATCGTAGCTGTTGGGCGGGGGGGGGATGGAGAAATCTGGAGGGAAAATAGTTGGAGAATTGAAAACCACTTTTTTTTTCCTTATCTAAATATCTTCGAATATCACACAAAAGCGCGCACACACACACAGAGAAAATAAGAAATGAGATCTAACTGATGATATCTGCCTATTGAAATTAAGAAAGACTATATGTACTGTATATATGTATTGATGCGGGTTTCTTCAACTGCTTTCTTATGATTGTTAAACAAGTGAATTTGCCAAACGTGCAATAATCAATGTACTGATGAATAAGGGAACAATTTAGGCATATATATATAGATAGATATGTATGTATCAGAACACTGAACTTTCTAATTGTCCTCCATAGACTATTTGGTGCTTTGTATTAGCCCACAGATGATGACTAGACGATTTTTGTTGAAATTTTATAATGTACAAATCACTTTGACACTCAATCAAGGCGGTTACAGCATAAATCATCTGGAAAACAGGGAAAAAATTGAAAAGAAAGTAACATTAGCATTAATTTTGTTTGTCTGTTTTTTCAACATTCTTTCTGTGAGCCAATGAGAATCAATAAGAACATTAGACTTTCGCCCACAGTTACATTCGATCCATACTGAAGATTGGACGGTCGGGGTTAGAAAGAACAAGCAATAAGGAACTCTACAGTACAATAAAACAGTCAAGAAGTTATCGTCGAAGATATACTCAGAGTAAAATGGAGGTGGATTGGACATACGCTTGAGGAGACTGATAACTGGTATCCCAAGCTAGACTTTTGAATGGAAACTGAATGGGATGTGGTAAGTTGGATGTACAAGGGTAAAATCAAAGTATATGAGCAGTTCCCTTGGAACCCAAGGAGACGATAATAACGATTAAATTTTCTGCAACTTGAATTTGAATATATGTATTGAGACCAATAGCCATGTACTCTATTTAAACCTTACATTATGTGTCTCCACCTTCTAACAATGTAAACATACACTCTATTCGGTCGTTAGGTAATCACATTGAGAGATGTTTCAGCCTTAAGTATAATCATTTATCTAATTTTTTTAGGGAAGTAAAGTTCTGATGCATATAAGTGGAATCTCCACATTTATATCAGCTGATCACGGATTGATATCATTTAGAGAACCATTGAAAACCAGGGAGTACTGGACAGCCAGCTCTTTTATCCTAGTTTGGGAATCATCGGCAGTACGCACCCACCAACAGGGATCGAACCCATGGCCTTCCGACTACAAGACAAGCTGGTTCGTATACCATTCAGCCACTGGGACCCAATTCAATGGCTCATGAATTCTAACTTCTGCCGATTCGTGATTCAGCGAGACCCCAACGAATGTCGTCGGTGGGACATCCATCCTCACACATAACATCTGGATGGACCTGACTGGTCACAACATTGGTTGGGGTCGCGCTAAATCACGAATTGGTGGAAGTAAGAATTCATGAGCCATTGAATCGGGTCCCAGTGGCTGAATGGTATACGAGGCAGCTTGCCTTGTAACCGGAAGGTCCTGGGTTCGAACACTTGTGGTGGGTGCGTACTACCGATGATTCCCGAACTGGGATGAAACAGTTGTCCGGTACTCCTTGTTTTTCAATGGTTCTCTAACTGATATCAATACGTGATCAACTCACAAAAACAAAACTAACCCTTACAAACCAAACTATAGAAAAAATATGAAATGAATTTACCTGGAACAGATTTCTCATGAGCCAGACTACAATCACTAGTGCTATTTTTCCCTTGAGTTCTGAGTAGAACTTACGGCTACGACAGCACATCTCCATTTCGTCCTGTTCTCTAGACACCTCTTTAGCTGGCTCTACGACTTATTTATTTATTTATTTAAACGCATAAAAACTTGGTACAATATGACACCAAGAAAGATGCGCCACACAATAATTATAAACAACATAGATCAAAAAAAAAAGGAAGGAAGGAAAAGAAAAAAATAAATATAAGTAGAGAACGGATAAAGAACTTCATCTGGAAGGAAAACAGTCATGCTTAACAAGTTCAAACAGTGTTCGTTAACTATCATCGGGAAGGGAAGAAAGAAGGAAATTGCAACACATTCGCCATTGATTACGATTCTTGGCCATATCCGATAACGTTTCGAGCCATCGATTTGAGCTATCTCTCGGACCCCAACCAGGGAGTCGTGACACACCAACCGATGCTAATCTAGCACAAAAATCCTTCATCCCACGACGCCACGTCATGGACTGACCACCTCTCCGCCTTTTCCATCCCGTCCCAGGGCTGGCTAGCGAACAGAGACCTGTACGGAAGCCTCTGGGGTGACATTAGCAGCACATGTCCAAGCCACCGGAGCCGGTGTTTCCAGATGACGACATTCAATGAATGGTGATCTCCACTGTGTTCAAACACACGCCGCCGAACCTCAGAATTACTCACGCGATGATGCCATCGAACGCAAGCAATCCTGCGGAGACAGCGGTGATCGAACACGCAGAGTCGCCGCACATCCTCAGCTCGGAGAGGCCAGGTTTCACAGGCGTAGAGCAGACAGCCCGCACCGAAGCATTGTATACCCGACCTTTGACAGCCAGGCTAACGTCGCGACGGCGCCAGAGGTGGCTCAAGTTGATGTATGCCACCCTAGCCTTCATTATACGGTTGGAAATCTCATCCGTCACCCCTCCGCCAGCACTCACACAACTACCCAGGTACACAAACTTATCAACAACTTCAAGCGGTTCACCGCAAGAGTGAGTGCAGGTACAGGCTCCTGCCAATCTTGTAACAGTACTTTGCACTTAGACGGCGCAAAGCACATACCATACTTACAGACACTGATCGCCAACTGATTAAGTGCGATTTGGGCAGCCTGCATGCTATCGCACAGTAAGACGATATCGTCTGCATACTCGAGGTCGAAAAGTCTATCTCCAGGTAGCAGATCTACACCACCTTCACGCACATCCTTCAGAGCTGACTCCAGAATGTCATCGATGGCAAAGTTAAAGAGAAATGGAGAGATTGGGCAACCCTGTCTAACCCCACTGTTGGTTGGGAACAGTGGTGATAGTTGGTTGTATGCCCTCACTCTACCTGAGGTGTTTCTGTATAGGGCTTTCAGATGTTAACAAATTTCTCAGGTACACCTCTCTCTAACAGACAGTTCCAGAGCACAGTTCTGTCCAACGAATCGAAGGCAGCCCTAATATCAAGAAACACAATTATCGTTGGCGGTGTTCCAACAACTGACGAAGGGTGAACACATGATCAATGCATCCACGACCTGAACGAAACCCAGCCTGCTCTTCGCGAATCAATCCTTCACGTATTTTGCACAGTCTGCGAAGCAAGACAGCAGCCAATATTTTAGACGCGACTGGTAACAGACTGATACCCCTATGATTGTCACACGAATTACGTCGACCCTTTTTAAAGATGGGGACGATAATGGCTTCGTTCCACATTGATGGTACACTCTCTGTCTCCCACACCTTCCTGAACAACCCAGTTAGAGCCATTGTGAGAGTCTCGCCACCATCTTTAAAAAGAGCCGGGGGTAATTTGTCTGGGCCGGGCGCCTTATGGCGTTTCAGAACTTGGAGTTCCTTACGGACCTCCGCTTCGGTGGGTGGGTCGGTACTAACCGACCAAGGAGCACTCGGGCTAATGATAGTAGACACTGAAGCTGGTGGCCAGCTAAACTGCTTCCCGAAGTGCTCTGCCCAGCGTTCCAGGCGTCTTTTCAGGCTGGTAATTGGAGTGCCATCTGCCTCACAGACCGTCTCGCTGACACCTTGTTTCTTGCTGCCGGTGGCTCGTATGAGTTGGAACAGCTTCCGACTGTTGCCAGATGCAGCAGCTGACTCCATCTCACACGCACGTTCTGACCACCAGGCTTCGCGGTCCTTACGTAAACACTGTCTAATCTTGCGCGTGAGCGCCTTTCGCTGATTGTTGTATTCGCTGCCAGCCGGAATGGACCGGCGTTCATCCAGGAGTTGCAAGGAACTCGCAGAAACCCAGTGGTTGTTAGCGGAGCATTCTTTCAAGCCGCAAGCGGCTACACTCGCCTTTTGCATGGCACCTTGCACATGAAGCCAATGTTCATCTATACTACTTGGGGGTTGCTGGCAAGCATTGTTTTTAACTCATTCTGATATTTCAAAGAAGTAGCAGGTGCTACTAGTTTGCTCACATCAACGCTTAGACGACGGCTTTTACGAACCCCACCAAATCG